AAAAGAAAACAATGATAACATCTAAGACATTAACTAAGAAAAACATCAACTAAATGTACACTAAGCACTAATAACATAAAAACATCACGTCGAACATCAGCACAAACATGAACACGAGTCTGTGTGAGCAGATGAGCACACAAACACACCAACATTTAAACAGATCAGCAGCAACATGATGTGATTTTTTTCACAGTGATTATTCTAGTTAGAGATTCATGAGTCTAACAGCCTCAGGGTAGAAGCTGCTCCTCAGTCTAGTGGTTCTACACTTAATGCTCCTCAACCTCCTTCCTGAGGGGAGCGGGGCAAAAAGTGTGTGCGCTGGGTGAGTGAGGTCCTTCATGATGCAGGTGGCTCTCTTCCTGCATCTAGAGGTGTAGATGTCTGTGATGGTGGGGAGGTGGGCTCCAACAGTCTTCTGTGCAGCCTTCACCACTCTCTGCAAAGCTTTTCTTTCTGCAGTTGTGCAGCCTCCATGCCACACGTTGATGCTGGAGCACAGGATGCTCTCCACTGCACACCTGGTGAGGTGAGGACTGAGCTTCCCAGACCAGCTCGTCTCAGCCGCCTGAGGAAGTAGAGTCTCTGATGTGCTTTCTTGATCAGGCTGGTGGTGTTGTTGCTCAAGCTGAGGTTGTCATTCATGTGTACACCCAAGTACTTGTAGCTGGAGACCACTTCCACCGCAGATCCTTTTATGTTCAGGGGGGTGTAGATGTTTTTGTTCCTTCTGAAGTCCACAATCATCTCCTTTGTCTTCTTCACATTGATGTGAAGGTTATTCTCTCTGCACCAGCTCTCCAGGTGTTCCACCTCTTGCCTGTAGCTGGACTCATCATTGTTTGTGATGCATCCCACCACCGCTGTATCATCTGCAAATTTTACAATGTGACAGCTTGGATGGGTAGCTGCACAATCATACATGAGCAGAATAAACAGGAGGGGACTCAACACACATCCCTGAGGAGAGCCAGTGCTGAGGGTTATGGTGGAGGAGAAGTTGTGGATCCTCACTAACTGTGGTCTGTTTGTTAAGAAGTCTAGTACCCAGTTGTAAATGGAGGGGCTTAGTCCTAGTGTGAATAGTTTGTCCATCAGGGTTTGGGGGATCATGGTGTTGAAGGCAGATGTGAAGTTCACAAAGAGCATACGGACGTAAGAGTCTTTCTGCTCCAGGTGGTTGAGCGCAGTGTGGACCACAGACGAGATGGCATCCTCTGTTGATCGGTTCTCACGGTATGCATACTGATGAGGGTCCTCGTTGATGTTGATAGTTGTTTTGATGCGAGTCATGACCAGTTTTTCTAAGCATTTAGCGACTATCGGGGTGAGGGCCCCTGGCCGATAGTTATTCAGACCAGTCGCTTTAGAGCTTTTTGGGACTGGGATGATGGTGGCAGTCTTCAGGCAGGTGGGAACTGTCTCCAGGGTTAGTGAGGTGTTAAAGATGTCTGCCAGCACCTTGCAGAGCTGTTCGCTACATTCTTTCAACACTTTTCCTGGAATGTTGTCTGGGCCGGTGCACAGAATCTGTCAGACTGACGGCATCACCAAAGCTTTTCTATCAAATACAGATATGTACTTCGGCTAAAACACCCCAAAATTTATGATTTTTAATTTTTTTTTTTACTGAAGCCATTATTTTGTTGATTTAGATCTACAGTAGTCCCTCGGTTATCGCAGGGATCCGTAGCCTGAAGCCCCGCGATACGTGAAAAATCGTTAAGTAGGAATAGTAGTACAAGTATCCAAAATTTTTCAGTCATGTCATCTGGGCAGTTTCTTTTTTTGTGCTGAAACGTTTCGCCTTTGATCTGGAAGGCTTCGTCAGTCAAGGAAACACACAACACAAAACTGATTTTTCACCCAACAGCTTTCTCCAAAGTGGAACAAACCGAGGTCGGCAATGGAGGCAGGGGCGTGCCAAAAAGACCATCTAAGTACCAACATAACTGGTTTGTTCCACTTTGGAGTAAGCTGTTGGGGGAAGAATAAGTTTTGTTGTGTGTTTCCTTGACTGATGAAGCCTTCCGGATCGAATGCGAAACGTTTCAGCATAAAAAAAGAAATTGTCCAGATGACCTGACTGAAAAATGTTGGATTGTATACCTGGATTATTAAGTATGGACTTAGTAGTACACAGTTTATTTAAACGTATATATATATATATATATATATATATATATATATATATATATATA